TTGGGGGGTGGATTGAACAACCCTCTCATGGGGGTCACATATCAGATATTCTGCATATCAAATATACTATGATTCATAAAAGTAGCAAAATAGCTGTTATGAAGGAGCAACGAAAATTATTTTACCGTTGGGGGTCACCACACCATGCAGAACTGTATTAAAAGGTTGCAGCATTAGGAAGGTTGAGAGCCACTGTTTTAGAAGGTTTTACACAGAGCCTCAGATGAATGGCTAAGCTCACTGACCATCTCAAAACAGGCAGCTCATACACTTGCCAATGTAGACTTGTGTGTATACACACTGTCTACATGCCCTGAGAACCTGCTAGCCCCCACCTTTCCCATCACAGACATTAATCGTGTAAACAGGCTAGATAGTGCTTTTTGCTGCTCTTTTCTCTGCCCCTGTTGTCCTTCCCAAGCTTTCTAGCATGCTGCCCCATGAGTTCGTGAACTTGGCTGTAGACAGCAGTGGTTGTTTAATGTGAACCCTGGCCCTTATTGCTCACATCTGCAGTGTCTCCCGGTCAGTGGTGCTGTGTAGTGGAATGTGGAGCTGTTAGGAGGTGGGGCCTGCTTGGCAGAAGGAGGTCACTAGGGGCAGGCCCTGGTTCTGCTGTGCCCTCTCTTTTTCCTGGTCTGATGTGATGGGTGGAGTCTCCACTGCACACCCCTGTGGCCACGAATTCTATCACTCATGCTTCCCTGCCTCCTTGGCTGGAAACCTCATGAGACTCTAAGCCAAAAGGAAGATTTTCCTCACTCAAGTTGTTTCTACCGGGCAGGTTGTCACGGCAGCACAGAAGTATCACCCTGGCTCTATGAGCCACTGTGTCCCTGCTGCTATAGAAACTCAGACACCTCTGCAGCTGCATTCCAGCACTGAGCCTGAGAGGAAGGAGTTACTGCTAAGAGAGCATGCTCCCTGGGTGGAGAGGAAGCAGGGTAGCTGTGAATGGCCGTAGCCACGCTCACGGGGCCGGGTGTTGGTGACACCTTGTAGGCCGTCGTTAGCAGGTGCGTCTCTAGTGATTAGAGCTGGACAGCTTTTCTGCATGAACTCTTGATGGCCCCTGGGTGAGAGTAGCTACTCTCTCATGCTCCAGTCTTCTTTTCTGCTGCTTTAACCTTGACTGGGCTCAGAAACTCCGTGAGCCTCCCTGCCCAGTGTGAGGGGGCAGAGCAGAGCTCTGACAGACAGTCTTGCGGTTCATGAGGGCGTGCTAAGGGTAGGCAGCCAGAAGAACCACCCTAGGGACCGACAGGAGCTGACATCCTCGTGAACTGCCTGGTGCAGCCTCAGTCATGCCCTTGATCCCTCTGCCACCGGCTGATCTGTGTGCTATGGGGAAGGAATCAGAGACCTTGCCCTGACATAGTGGGAAGACGGGAGTGGGGGGAAGATTCATGAACACAGAGGAAGATGTCCAGGGGTGGGCTTGGAAGGAACCTCTCCAGGTGCTCCAGCCCCACCCCCACCCTGTGGTGGGGTGCTTGCTTTCCTGCTATATAGTTAGGTTGTACTTGAACACTTCGTTTCCTCTGCACAGCAAAGTAGAATCATATCCTGTACACACTGGGGATTTGAGAAATGCAATTGGGTTTCTGCAGCCTGTGTCTGTCTTTGTCAGAGTCTTCTCTCTGCACCCCCATGTCACTATAGGTCACTATTGCAGGGTATGGGCATGTGTGGGCACGTGTGTGCTGGTGTCTGAAGATAGAAGTCATGATGTGATAGAAAATACCCAGGACTAGCCAGGCCTGGTGGCACACACCTGTAATCCTAGCACTCAAAGAGCCAGAGACAGAAGGATTATCTCAAGTGTAGGCTAACCTGGGCTACATAGTAAGTTCCAGACTAACCACAGTGCCACCCAGCAAGACCCTGTCTCAAAACTGGAAGATACCCAGAGAAGTCTGGCTGTATTGTTGAGACATGGAACTAATAGCCGTGAATCACGAATGGAGCCCAATAAGCTAGACAACAGTGGCTCCAAGCTAAGGACACAGCTGAAGCCACATCACAAGTGAATCACTAGGACAACTTTATTAATTTTTTTGAACGAGAAAATTATTGCAATGTCATCAGTAAAAATCATTTTAACAGGACGTTGAGGTGGGCAGAACTTCTAGACAAAACAAAAATAAGCAACAAATAGACAAGCGACGAGAAACACCAGCCGATTAAAACGTCCCAGAAGCCTGCACGAGGAAAAACATGAGAGGTGTTCTGGAGGCCAAATCCGATCAGCTCTGTGATGGTTAATGTTGTCTACTCGTTAGGCTCCGGAGTCACCAAAAGGACAACCTTCTGGGGACAGCTGAGAAGCAGTTTCTAGATCAGGTGGGAAGGCCTAACGGGAAGGTGGGCAGCACCAGTCCACCACTAGAGAGCTAAACTACATTGAGAGAGAAAGCCACCCGAGCCCAGCATTCATCTCTCTGCTTCCTTACTGTCACATAACCAGCTGTCAAGCTCTTGCCTCCAGGATGTCCCTCCAGGACGGACCGCATTCTCAAGTCTCTTGTTCCCTTCGTTACTTCTCCTCCAATAGGTTGTCACAACAATGGGACTAGTCATGAATGCGGTCGCCACGGCAAGTTGAATTAGAACCCACCTGGAAAGAGGATGCTATGCCTGTGCCTCGCAGGGTGCCTGAGATGAACTGAGTTCATATAAAGTTTGTTGCATACAGCCCAACAGAGTGGCCGTCCTTCAACGGCTAGTTGTTGGTAAACGCCAAAGCCCCACAGCAGAGCTGACAGCCTGCTTCTGATTAATACACTTTAGGCTGGAGCTCCACCCCCCTTGATGTGGCTCCTTGAGTGAAGGATGTTTCTTCAAGCACAGAATCTGATGGACTTTATGACTGACGGATCAAGTTCAATGGGCTCCCCTCCACTGTGGGAGGCTTGTGTCAGAGGGTCTCGAAGGCCATCATCCCAGTGAAATTGCTCCAGGCCTGCAGGGGCTATGTGGCCAGAAGGCAGGTCTTCCACATTGGTGAACCGCCTGCCTCCTGCAGCCATCTCTCCATGAGCATCCCTCCTGCCTTCTGACGTGTGGGAGTGGCTTGGCAGGGATGCAGCTTCCTGAACTGGATACACAGGGCCAGCTCTGACTGCAGTTGACCTGGGTTGTGCCTTGCTTAGTATATAAGATTGCTTAGCGTGAGTGGGAGCTGATTTTGAAGCCCCTTCCAGCTTGTTGTGCTCTCAAAGGATTCCTAGCTTCCCTGGTTTAGTCTTAGGTTTCATGGACTGTCAGCTTTGGGAGAGACACTGTAACTGTATGCACTTAAAAGTGGGTCAAACCTTTGAGTATTTCTTGTGTGTGTGTTTATATCCCTGCTCCCACACCTGTATAGAGGTTGATATTGAATTTTTATACTATTTTTAAGTAAGAGTCTCTCACTAAATTGAGAACTCACTGATTTGTCTAGAACAACTGGCAAGCAACTCCTAAGAACCCTCCTGTTTCTGCTCCCAATATTGAAATTCCAGGGGCATGCTGCTGTGCCTGGCTTTAAAAAAATAATAATGTACCCCGTACCCCAATCACACTTGCTTTCAATTCTTCCCAGGTCCAGGTCCATCCTCCCACCCTTTCACTGTCCTCCCCCACATACAACCAAACCACCCAACAAAACCTCCCACCAAGTCCACTTTGTGTTGCCCATACACACATGGGAGCATGGCTAAACTCCCAGGGGCCGGCTCCTTAAAGAAAGCTGAGTGCCGTGACATCCCCCATCCCCTAGAGGCCATCAGCTGTGAAGAGCTGTGTTTCAGCATGTTTATCACAGTTTGTAAGGGCTCTATTCAATAGCTTCCTGTCTGGACTGTTTCTTTTGTGGGGGGTGTTGCAGAAGCCTTCAGTGGCTCTCATTCTCTGTTATGAGTCTGCAGTCATCGATTCCACTGCCAAAGAAGCTTCCTTGTCCATAACAGCTGGTTTTTATGTGTCGTCCGGGTGTCAGATTCAGGCTCTCCTGCTTGTGCAGCAAGCATTTTACCAATTGAGCCATCTTCTTAGACTTTTATATATGGTCTGTCTTCCTAATAAATTTATAGACCATTATGATATATTTTCTGGGTCATCTAGACAAATCACCATCTTTACAGAAAGCCCTTTTCTAGCCTCCGGTCTATATCTCTAAAATAAGTCTTGTTGGCATCCCCAGTGGGATAATTTCCAGGATCTACCTGTCTCTACCCTCCAATGCTGGGGTTATGGGCACCTGGAGCCACGCCTGGATATTTACATGGCTGCTGGGAACCTCAGCTGGAGCTTTCATGCTGGCTCAGCAAACATTACCTGCCCACTGAGCCATTTCTCCATGACCCCCCACCTGTGCCTCTGTTCTTGTGTCTTCACCTGTTCGGATCTATGCGACAGGGCCGCTGAGAATGAACTTGCTTCTGTATTGTGTCTTGTGAGCTGAGTTTAGTATGTTTCTGTGGCAGTGGGCGGAAGTCACACTGTCAGAGTGTGGAGCACAGGAGAAGTTAGGACAGTCCCGCCAAGATAGAGGACCTGAGTGCAGTGGCTCATGCCTGGCATTTAGGAGGCTGAGGCGGGAGGCTTGTCTCGAGACTGAGATCAGCCTGAAGCGTAGGCTACACAGTGAATTCCAGGTCATCTTGGACCATTGAGTGAATGTCTCAAAAACAAAAAACAAAAACAAACCAAAATGGCAAGAGCAATAATAAAAGATAAATAGATGAAGAATTCTTAAGTGAAATTAAAAGAAAAGGTTAATTATATCTTTTGGTCTAGAATAGTGCCTGTGTATGTGTTTTATTTATTTATTTATTTATTCAGTGGTAGAAACCAAACACAGGATCTCACTTGTGCACACTTGTCAGTGAGGTAAATCCTCAGCAATGACAAGGTCTGGAGTATATATATATATACATATATATATATATATATATATATGTATATATATATCTTTTTTTCTCTTTTCTCCATATTAGTATTGAAAATGTTTTAAGTTACCTTTTTGAGATGAGGAGGGACCAGCTGGGACAGCAGGGCTCCTGGATAGTGGAGCCCTAATCATGTTGTGAATCTCTTCAGTACCTCAGCTCTAGGAAGATAAATAGAAAATGCACATCAATTTAAAACGTGGAGATTGCCGTTTGGGACAGCAAGAGGAAAGAAGACAGCGGGGTAGTTGGAAGAACAGCCTGTAATACTGATCTTGAGTCTGTTGACTTATTTCAGGCCTCCTGTCGGGGGGAAGAGGCCTGGGATGGGGTAGAGACCCTGGCTACAGTGTCCAAGGGATGGGGTAGAGACCCTGGCTACAGTGTCCAAGGGATGGGGTAGAGACCCTGGCTGCAGAGTACAAGGGATGCAGTGGAGACCCTGGCAAGGTCATGTGTCACAGGCCCAAAAGGTGTCATGTTGTTCCTGACCAGACAGAATCTCAGCCATTTATAGTATGGTACATCTGATGAAGATAAATACTAGAAGAAGCTTAAATTTCATCATAGAGCCAGATTACCTGTGGTGGATTAGCTATGGAAAATGTTGATTCCCAAGCTAGCTTCTCTGAGTTTATTTTTGGCACACAGCTTATTTTTGAGTCATTTTCCTTATCAGGGGATGTGTACTTAAAAAAATACATGCTAATTTTTTGTGTAGTGGTGGGGCTTGAGTAGACTCTAAATTATAACATAAATATGGTATGTGTATGTGCGCGTATACTATGCTAAAACAATCACAGAGACTCAGGGAGAGCTGAGGCCTCCCTCCCCTTCATTCTTCCTGTCCTGTGTTTCATGAGGCCGGGCGTCCCTTGTGCTGGTTCCCTGTTTTTCTTCCTTTGACTTTTCTTGTGGCTTTTCCCTTTCTTGCTTTGGTTGATTAAGAACTGACTATCTCATTGTTATGAGTTGAGACCTAGCAATGAAATAAATGATAACAACAAGGTAGGGGTGAGTGGGGGAGGAGGGGCTTGGGCAGGGAGTTCATCTTATGGAAGACCTGTCTTATTTATGCACACAGTACTTTCGATAGAAAAGGAAAACTGGGAGTTTGTGGGCTATGAACTTAGATTCTAGTCACTTCAGTGGTTTTTTTAAATATTTTATTTTATGAATATAAATGTTTTGCCTGCATGTATGCGTGTGCACTCCATGCATGCATGCCTGCTGCCCATGGAAGTCAGACGCGTGCATTGGATCCCCTAGAAATGGATTGCAGAAGGCTGTGAGCCACCTCGTTGGAGCTGGGAATCAGACCCAGGGTCCCTAAAGGGAGCCTGACTTTTCTCTCCTGCCAGTTTTCCTTTTCTTCTTTCTTCCATTCTCACCCCGTCCTTCCTTTTCACCCTCGATGAGTTTATTAAATATCTCAGATGCTAGCAAATCCCCATGCAGGTGCTGTTATCCCGTGAGCCATCTCCCCAGCCTTAGACCTCTTCTAAGTTTTGCTCTATCCTGGGTAGCTTGATATCATGGCCACACAGAGGCCTCCACTCCAGCAGGGGAAAGAGGAAGGGACTAGGAACAAAATGTGGACAAGCTAAAGCCCTGAGAGTTAAGCCTAACAAAAAGGCAGGATGGGAACTATGGTCCCCGTTCTGAGTCATGTGAATCTTTCCTGAAATCAAGGTCTTCTACAGAACAGCCAGAAGTCTTTTTGGCAATAACAATCTTTAAAAGTAAATATACAACTAGAGTGGACTGATTCATTAATAAACAATCCATTGGTAACATTTAAAAATGTTGAATCTCTTTCTATGTTTGTAACGGCTTTAAGTTCTCTTAATATTTGGTAAGCCCCCATATATCAAGAGCCGAAGTAAACATTACTTGTTTTAAAATCCTGAAATGCAGTTATTCAAACGACCACAGATTATAATTTATCTCTCCAGAAACCAACTGATTGGGTTCAGAAGTACACAATATTGTAACAGCCTGATTTATGTACTGACTGCACTTCCTAGCCCGAGTATAAGGCAAGAAAGCACAGATGAGGTGGTAGACGGGGAGGGACCTGGGCTGGGATCCAACAATGAAGCGTGGTGTAGGAGTGTATATACTGAGTGTGATGGGAAGGGGTGGGAGGAGAGCATATGGAGGTCAGTGTGAGGTGCTTAGAAACTAGTGCTATGGAGACCTGTCATCCCTAGGGACACTAGACTTGGAGTCCAAGACTATACCTGAGCCAGATGGAAGGAGCTCCTTGGCATTTGGCCAGGATCTTAGAATAGGACCTTGGCCGCCCACAGAACATTGGGACGAAGTCTTCTGGGTATCCATGGAGTAAAGACTGTGGCTACAGACAGAAGAAGTTTGGAAACATAGAGAGGTACCCACAGACACTTCGGCTATGACTGATGTGTCCAGTTTCAGTGTAGGTAAAACCTGGGTCCCTAAGAAAGCTAATATCTGAGAAGTGTTGGTTCCTTCCCCATCACCGATGTCTTCAGAGAACTGTTGGGGTGTCTCCGATTTTTATGTTGTGACACGAAGCTGTCACCTACAAAGTTCATGGCGCAAGATGTTACACGCACAATCTATTTATAAAAATAACAGCCAAAACCAATCATGATTTGATTAAGATTCCCATTTTGTGTTGAGCCATATCCTTTGCTGTCTTAGGCTACAGTTTGGCTAACCCCATAGCTGGAGATGAAACAGAAAAGAGACCGACTTCTAGGAGATGGGTGGTGGGAATGGAGGGAGAAAGATCCCGATGACAGAACACATGATAGGGGAGTTTAGCCAATCTCATTTTGTTTGCGGGGCGTGTCGCCCTTAGGCTAAAGCTTGCCTATAAACCTAGAGTGCCGCTAGCTCTCTCTCACCTGGCTCCTGAGTCCGGACGGATCGTTTGGATTCTGGTGTAAGCTGGTGTAAGTCTTACTTCTGTTTATTAAAGCTGTATATTTTGTATTAAGATAGTCTGGGGACTTTTCCTTACCAATCGCCCTGCGGCTTCAAACACATAGATGGTGAGCAGCTCACCTCCAGGGTTAAGGGAAGGTCACAGTCCTTACATCAGTAGATCCTCGGATGTTCTTATATTCAAGCTTCCCGGGGGAGATGGCTTCGTCCTTTGAAGATGTAAAGAGGTAATGAGAAGAAGCGAGGATGACAGTTTGCTCCTTTGTTAGCAGAACCTTTTTATTTTCCGTATAATGTCATCTAGTTGAGGATTTATGTCAGTTCTGCCATAGAACTTACCAGACAGATGTAGAAAGACAGTTTAATGGTGGCTATGTTAAGATAGACAGGAAGTGACTTCTCATGACTTAGGGAAATCTACTTTTTTTTTTTTTTTGGCTTCTAGATTACCACTTTCTTTGGACATTTGTACCGAAGTTGGTGGTTTAAAGTCATTTATGCCGTTTGATGACGATTATGCTTTACTCAAGGGGAATGGAATAAGATCATGTGAATTGAGGCTTCCTGGCCAGTTCTATATTTTCTCTTTAAAAAAAAATATCAGTTTCAGAACATAAAACTAATAAGGCCATGTAGGGTGACCATGTAGTGTGACTAAGACACAGAGATGGCTTTGAGTCTTATTTCACTACTGCCAGGAGCCTCTCTCCATTTCTTCATTCTGATAACAGCCCCTGCCTTACTGTGCTGCCCACAATCCATATTCATACACATTTTCATGGTTTTCTTGCCTTCTGATTGCTTTAGAAAAGATGTATAGTAGAAAAGGAAAGAAGGAAGGGAGGGAGGGAGAAATGGAGGGAGAAAGGAAGAAAGGAAGGAGGGATAGAGGGATGGAGGGAGGGAGGGAAGGAGGAAGGAAGGAAGGAAGGAAGGAAGGAAGGAAGGAAGGAAGGAAGGAAGGAAGAAAGGAGAGGCCTGTCAGAGCTATAACACTTTGATGCTTCTGGCCCTGAGGTGTAGGGATCAATTCCCCTCTAAACCTGGACACTTTGCAGAGAGACTTGATTTCTGGGAGGGGGTCCTCTTGTGATTGGAAGGACACAGAAGAAAACTCTTATTGAAATGGACTTAAAAAAAGAAGATTCTTGCCTCAGGGGGGAAAAAAACCAGTTCTTAACAGGATGTCTGTTCTTTAGCTGGTAAATTTTGAGGAAATTCTTTGTGTATGTGTGTAAGTGTGCATGTGTGCATGTATGTGTGTGTGTATGTATGTGAGTGAGTGTGCGTGTATGTGTGTGTGTCAGTGTGCATGTGTGTGTGGGGATTGTTAATGGGAAAAAATGAGATGTTGCCTAACCTGTCTTTCCAAAGATCTTAGTGTATAATTCTAGAATCTGGACATAGGGTCTGGACACATTGATTTTATCTGCAATCTGCTTGGAGAAAAAGAATTTCCTGGAGATCTCCATGGGTCCTTTAGCAAGTGGCCATGCTGGGATTCCCAGAGAAGTGGGGTTTTGACTCTGTGGAAGGATTGGAGGGCCAAAGAAAGCTATCTAACATGAGTGTGTGTTTGTGTGTGTGTGTTATGTATGTATGTATGTATGTATGTATGTATGTATGTACGTATGCCATAGCATGTCAGAGGACAGACTCAGGTGTCTGTCCTCGCCTTTAACCGTGTTTGAGACAGTCTTGCTGCTGTTGCCTATGTCAGGCTAACTGGTCCATGCTCCACTGTACATTTTTCTCTGCTCCTCTTCCTTCCTCTCCCCTCCCCTTCAATCCTCTCACATGGTTCCCATGCTCCCAATTTACTCAGGAGATCTTGTCTTTCTCTACTTCCCATGTAGATTAGATCCATGTGTGTCTCTCTTAGGGTTTGCTTTGTTGTCTAGGTTCTCTGGGGTTGTGAATTGTAGGCTGTTTTTTTTTTTTTGCTTTATGTCTAAAAGCCACTTATGAGTGAGTACATATGATCTTTGTCTTTTTGGGTCTGGGTTACCTCACTCAATATGATGTTTTCTAGATCCATCCATTTGTCTGCAAATTTTAAGATGCCATTATTTTTTTCTGCCGTGTAGTACTCCATTGTGTAAACACCACATTTTCCTTATCCATTCTTCAGTTGAGGAGCGTTTAGGTTGTTTACAAGTTCTGGCTATGACAAATAATGCTGCTATGAACATAGTTGAGCACATGTCCATGTGGTATGGTTGAGCATCCTTTGGGTATATACCCAAAAGTGGTATTGCTTGGTCTTAAGGAAGGTTGTTTCCTAATTTTCTGAGAAATCACCATAATGAAATCCAAAGGAACTGTAGCAGTTTGCACTCCCACCAGCAACGCAGGAGTGTTCCCTTTACCCCATATCCTCTCCAGCATAAGTTGTTATCAGCGTTTTTAACCTTGGCCATTCTTACAGGTGTAAGATGGAATCTCAGAGTTGTTTTGATTTGCATTTCTCTGATGGCTAAGGATGTTGAGCATTTTCTCAAGTGTCTTTCAGCCATTTTAGATTCCTTTGTTGAGAGTTCTCTGCTTAGGTCTGTACCCTATTAGTTTTTATTGGATTATTTGTTCTTTTGATGACCAGTTTCTTTTTTTTTTTTAATATTTATTTATTATATATACAATATTCTGTATACATGTATGCCTACAGGCCAGAAGAGGGCACCAGACCTCATTACAGATGGTTGTGAGCCACCATGTGGTTGCTGGGAATTGAACTCAGGACCTTTGGAAGAGCAGTCTGTGCTCTTAACCTCTGAGCCATCTCTCCAGCCCCTGATGACCAGTTTCTTGAGTTCTTTGTATATTTTGGAGATCAACCTCTGTCTGATGTGGGGTTAGTGAAGATCTTTTCCCCTTCTGTAGGCTGCCATTTTGTCTTGTTGACCACGCCCTTTGCTCTACAGAAGCTTCTCAGTTAGTTTCAGGAGGTCCCATTTATTAATTGTCTCTCTCAGTGTCTGTGCTACTGGGATTATATTTAGAAAGTGGTCTCCTGTGCCAATGTGTTTAAGTGTACTTCCCATTTTCTCTTCTATGAGGTTCAGTGTGGCTGGCTTTATGTTTAGGTCTTTGAGCCATTTGGACTTAAGTTTTGTGCTTGGCAATATATATAGGTCTAATTTCATTCTTCTACATGTTGATATACAGTTGTTCCAGCACCATTTGTTGAATATGCTTTCTTTTTTCCCTTTTATATTTTTTTCTTTCCAAAAATCAGGTGTTTGTAGGTGTGTGGATTGATATCTGGATCTTCAATTCAGTTCCATTGGCCCTCCTGTCTGTTCTTATGCCAATACAAAGGCTGTTTTCAGTACTGTAGCTCTGTAGTAGAGCTTGCAGTCAAGGCTTGTGATGCCTTTAGAAGCTCTTTTATTGTACAGGATTGTTTTGGCTATCCTGGGTTTTTTGCTTTTTTATATGCAGTTGAGTACTGTTCTTTTGAGGTCTGTGAAGAATTTTGCTGGGATTTTGACCAGGCTGGCCTCAAACTCACAGAGATCCACTTGCCTCTACCTACTGAGTGCTGGGATTAAAGATGTGTGCCACCACCATCCAGCTTTGAGCCATTTTTCTTAACACCTTACCTTTATCTGCTCTGCCTGCGACCTAGGGCTCCCCAGTCAGGCTAATTTGGCTGGCCTTTAAGCTCCAGGGGTCTGTCTGTTTCTGTTTCCCTGGTCCTGGGGTTATAAGTGTGTACCAACATCCCAACTTTTTACAGGGGCTCTGGGATTGAACTCAGGTCTTCGTGTTTGTACACGCACTTACCGCCTGAGCCACCTCCCCAGCTGCGAGCTGTCTGACTTTTCTCTCATCTGGATCACTGTCATTCACTTTGGAGACTTTTCCTGGATGGGCTCACCCTTTCTCAGACCACACTAAGGCCAGAAGCCCATGGGTTTCAACATTACTCAGGATGAATCTGCTCTGGCAGGATCAGAAGCCAGCATCAGGTACCCGGGCCTATATGTTTGTAATTGCTGTAGATGTTTTTCTTGCTGATGTCTTGAGCTCTTGCAATCGGGGATTTTATGGGGAAAAGGAGTCTATTTGGCTATAAAATAGAAAAGACAAGTGTCACCCTTTGCTTTATGCTGTTGGACAAATCACATAACCTTTCTGAACCACTGTTTAGGTAAAATTATTCATCCCAATGAGCATGGGCACTCTGCCAATTTGTCGTCTAATCAATGCTTCCTTTAGGAAACACTGAAGTGTGTGTGTGTGTGTGTGTGTGACAGAGTGAGAGAGAGAGAGAGAGAGAGAGAGAGAGAGAGAGAGAGAGAGAGAGAGAGCGCACGTGCATTTGTGTAGTTTACCAACTAAGTACAGCATAGCGTTCTGCGCCTCTGGCTTTGCTGCTGAGAAATGACATTATCAAGTGCTCTGAGTAGTCCAAAGAAGAGGAAATGGTCCTGTTATTAAATGCCATCTCTGTAATCACTTTCCCATACATAGACTGCTGCAGTGAGGTCCCACAGGAACCCTTTGTGGCTGGCATTATATTTCTCTTTACAGTTCAGGAGGTGGACTCTCCCAAAGACAACTTGCCAAAGCCTCTGGGTGTATCAGACATTGCACCTGGTATCAGACTTCGCAGCCACCTGACTCCAAGTCCCAACCCACTTTGTGGTTCCCTACAGCTCTTCAGCTCAAGTCTATTCTGTTCGCTAGGCCAGGAGGGAAAGCATGGGAAAGATGGAAATGCGCTCGTCCCAGCTTGTGTGGGCAGTTAGCAACTCCCTGTTTATATTAGTTATAATTTTTTCTCCTGTAAACAGTGCTCTGGGGTAGGGATTATTCACTCTCGAAAATGTTATTGAGCCCATTATATCCGAAGCTCTGTGTACTGCCACAGATTCCCAGGCGGTGCAGCGATTCAGAAATTTTGCATCTTGTTTGTAACGTTTATAGGGATATAGAGGATTTTGTGTGTGCTCAAGTCTGGGTCCTGCTGCTTCGGGCTCCCGTGAAGCTTCATTACGTCCTGTGTCTTTGCCTTGCCCATACTCATTCATGTGTTTATTCGTGCCATGCATTCACACCGCATCTCTTGTGTGTATAACTATGTCCTGGTGGTTCTTGGGGGAATGAGAAAGAATCTGGTGAGCTGGAGTTTATGTAATATGTAAAGACATAAGTCTATCTTAGGGGTTGTCAACGGAGAGTGATTTGTTTTCTCCCCAGGGCA